TTAATGTTTTCGAAAATTAATATATTCATATCAGAAAATATTCCAGTAATTGTGTATTGTATCTTTTGTTTTTTTGGTGACTGAATGGCCACGGTTTGCCTTAGAGGCATTTACAGATTCACCGGTCTTGAGGTGGCCGAGCGCAGATGGCGCTTAGCCTAAATCTATTTTATGAGTAACTAGGCTCGAGGGCTCCCTCAGGAGCCTCGGCTCGGGCCGTTATTCCGTTATTATTACCGGATTGGTAGGCCGCGGAGCTCTTAGATGGCTCCCGAGATGTGTCCTTATTTGCTGTAAAACCAGTATAAGGGGGTTACCTGTCCCACTCCCTCCATGAGCTGCGAGACGATGTCATCAGTGAGCTCCGCGCCGCGCGCCTTCGCCACCTCCGTGGCCAGCTTCAGCGCGCACAGCGAGGTGGGGTAGCCGCGCGTGCGGATCACCGGCTTCAGCAGCGCGAACACCTGGAACATCACATATTAATTAATTCATCATCTCCAGCTCACTATATATCCCCATCGAGGGTTTCGGAGCCTACCCTAATAAGGGGTGACTAGGCCATAGTCAAACACGCTGGCCCACTGCGGGTTGACTTCACACATATCTTTGAATTTCTTTTTCGATAAGTGCATCACGATGTTTTCCTTTACCGTATTAACGTCGGGTAAATTATGTACATGAAAATTCGAAAAATCGAAAATCACATTGGTACAGCGGGATTCGAACCCAAGACCTGTAGATTACAAGTCAAGTGCTTAAACCACTGAGCCACCGACGGTATATTAATTAATTAAGTCATCACAAATCTTGTAAATTCACTGTAAATGTATTATTTGGGGGTAAAAGTACGCTTTAGTCCATATTTTATTCCAATTTTCTAATTAATCATTATTCTTAATTGGTTTGGTGGTTATAGGTTAAATAATAAATAGCATAGAAGCATATTTGCTTTTATGCCTTTTAATTGTATTTGTCTTTAGATTCTATCCCTTCTTCCGTACGTAAGCACTCAAGTGTTGAGTACACGTTGAACGTACTTGTACGTGCTATGTGTACCTAAGTTCCTACGCATGTATATATTGTGTGTTCGTAAGTACGTAAGTGTAGTGCGTACTCTCGCGTTGTAAGCACACAAGTGTGTACGTATTTACGTGTTGTGCGTACGTGTACGTTGTGCGTACGTGTACGTTGTGCGTACGTGTACGTTGTGCATACGTGTACGTTGAAGGTACCTGGTGTGCGGGCAGCGCGTGCGCGATATGCGGCATACCGGCATCAACAGCGCGCATCACCTCCTTACTGAGTGCGTACGCGTTGATCAACTTGAGCAGTATGAGGTCGAAGTAGTCCAGCCACAGTGTGCGCGTCTCCTCGCGCCGGCACAGCCACACCAGCACGCGGACTGCTTCCGCCGCTGCACGCTCGCCGGCACTGCCCCAACCTGCAATCGCAATGGCACCATGACACCATGACAATGACACTGCAACACATCTTCTGTCATCTGTCCTTGCATACTTGCAGAGATTGTACAATTTCTTATTTCTATAAATTGCAATTTGACTACGGTAGTTACAATTATATAATGTTATGTTTACTAACAATTCAGCAATAATCTATTATCTATTCTAATAGACTATAGAAATAAACCATTACTTATTGAACAAATAAGTAACTATTAAATACCAAGAAAAAATTAATTAAAAAAGTGAAATTTTCTCTGTACGAGACTAGTTTTGATAACATAGATAGTTACCCGACTGTTGTGAATTGTTAGCTGCGTTGGAGGCGACATCCGCGTTCTCCTTGTCGGGCGCGCCCTCCTCCACCGACAGCGCGGCCAGCGACACGCGCACTATGTTCCTGATACAAACATACTAATGTTATAAATGCGAATGTTTAGATGGATGGATGTTTGTAAGAGTTTGTACCCTAAACGTCTGAACGGATCTCGATGAAATTTGGCATTTACGTAGAGGATAGTTTGGAAGAACACATAGACTACTCACTTGTGTGTTTTTTAATTCCACGCGGAGTCGCGGACGAAAGCTAGTATTAAAATACAAATGAAAAGAAAAAAGTCTTTTTATTATCACAAAAAATGAGTTACACTAATACTAACATAAATAAACAGTAGTTACCGCAATATCTACTGCACGAATGCTTTTCTCCTACAATACGACTCACACAAGACAATGGTAAGTCAATAATATTTTTTTTTTTATATAAAAAAGCGGGCAAACGAGCAGCGAATCGCTTGACATCAAGTGATCCGACGCCAATGAACATCCGCAACGCCATTCCGTATATTCTAATGATGGTGTTTACCAGAAGCTTAATTTAGTGTCTTTTCCCTTCCCACCATATTCTTATAAAGGATGGGAAGTGGATTCAACAGTGGAAGAGACAGAAAGGTGAAATATCTAATTTTTCTGTGCGTCCCTGTATTAAAGATAAGCAACTATAAATGGTCGATGTCAAATGTAGACGTTTGGTAGTGCTTATTGCCTCGTATCACGAAACACAAACTTATATAATTAATAGTTGTATTATACTAACTTGAAATATTCACACGGCTTTCGGCAGTCACCATACTTGAGCAGTTCGTGGGTAGCCAGCAGCAGCCGCTCCAGCTGGTCGGGCTGCGCCTGCGCCGCGTCCAGCGCACACAGCGCCTCCAGCACCTCCGGCTCGCGCAGACCGCCTGGCAACACATGTTACACAACACTAGCGCCATTGCGGCGATTAACAGCACTACAAAACCAGCTCCATCTATCGGCGTGCAATTCGCTTTTATAAGGAGCAAGCGCATTCTTATGGCTGTCCTTATGGAAAACCCACCTATTTTAATTCCAGCACAAACAGTTATATTGTAAATTAAACATACTGAAATAATTTATATGGCCAAATATTTTTTATAAAAAAAAAAACACAGATTCTTGTATCATTTCAATATCTTATTTTTAAATTATCCAACTTTACGTAAATTAAGTAAAAAGCTAATAGGCTAATAATGATTCAAAACTTACATTTCGTAATAATGTATCCATTCTCGTCGGTTTCGTAAGGTTTTATCTTGTCGCGGCCCAAATCCCTGTAAATAAACATAGACTTTAACACAATTAATGCAACGTACAAAAGCCATTAGACGGATACAATGTCACGTGAATTATGGACGACGGTAATGTGGTGTTTGTTCTGGTGAGAGTGTTGTGGTGTGATGTTGCAGTGAGTGTTGCTTTGAGTGTTTTAGTGTGTGTTGCGACGCGAGTGTTGTGGTGCGAGTGTTTAGTGTGAGTGTTGTGGTGCGAGTGTGTTGTGTGAGTGTTGTGGTGTGAGTGTTGTGGTGTGAGTGTTGTGGTGTGAGTGTTGTGGTGCGAGTTTTGTGGTTTGAGCGTTGCATATTGGGTGTTAGTGTTGCGGTGAGTGTTGAGGGAGTGTTGTGAGTGTGCATACCCGTGGTGCGCGAGGTGCGCGTGCGGCGTGGGCGAGGACTCCTTTGTGCTGCCTGTCTCCTCCGAGCTGTCGGCGGAGGCGGCGCGCGCCATCGTCTCATTACTGTAACATATAAGTATATTGTCTTTGATGGGAGTAGACTTAGGTAGGGCCTTGAACAGTCTAACATCAGTATCTATACTAATATAATAATATGCACACTTCTTTGTTATGTAGGATGTCAGTAATCACAGCATATTTTTAAAACATTCTCTTTTTAATTAGAAGCCCTACACTTACGACAGGCTATAGGCTATATATTTTCACACCATTTAATTTAAGGGGTGAATAAATTGGAAAAATCTTCAGGAAAAGGACAAAAACTACAATCCAATAACAGCAAAGAAGTAATTGCCAAGGTAACTCTAATTGTTTTTCAATGGATAGGACATCCTTGTCAGTTGTGCATCTGAGATTTGAAGTTGTAACTTTTAACAATACATAAACTACAAAAGAATTCCATTTTATAGAATATATACTGTATACATGTATACTGACGTGCTGTAGTGTCCGTTAGGTACACCGTTAGCAGGCTGGGCACCATTACTGCCTTTGGAGAGAGTGGCTCCAGACATCTGGCTGATGCCGGAGTCCTTGCTCGACATGTGATTGCCGCATTCCGCTGGAAACAATTAAAAAATAAATATTAAAGGCATACATTATGTCAGTATCAGCGAAAATCAGCGCTATAATGAGCAATAAATAACTGACGCCAGTCCAGCCCATGCCAGGCTCTGTAGCAATGTAATGTTTATCTAGTTTCTATATTGTATTTACTAATGTTTTTTACTATAGTTTATTAATAATTATTTTGAAGTAAAAATATTACTATGTATATATAAAAACATCTGTTTTCTTTTAAAATTGTTGAGTGCAAAATACAACCTCTTTAGCTGACAAGCAGTATGTATACAGCCAAAGAGGTTGCAAACTGGCCACCAAGGCATTTATCGTTGGATAAAGAAAAATAGAAAAAAAATGAGAAGTCAAGATGTGATCGACATAGTTTTGAGTTTTTTGTATATATTTGTGTAAATAAGTTTTAAATAAAGATGTATTAGTTTAATAAAAAGTGTTTTGTATTTTTGGCTGCCGCACTGTCGGTAGCAAGTTAAACACAAATAACTATATTTATCAACATTGCTAACCATAATACTATAAATTTAGATTATTACCTTTCTCTAACTGTAAAAACAGTAAATAACTAACCATTAGCATGTTGTGCGGTATACGAATGTATCTCAGATGTGGTCTTGCGTATACGAGAGTACACGTCCTCGCCGCCCGCCGCGTTGTTACTGACTGCGCGCAGCGGGCTCTCGCTGCCGGCTAGAAAGAGACGGCACATTACAATTGATACGCGATAGAAGAGGATAACATGATAACCACAGTTCACTATAGAAACAATTGAAGCGACAGAGGGGACATTATAGTGTTTTATGCACTTATTTATTTGGTATTTTACCACTATAATTATGCAATAAATCTATACTTTTTAATATACCCGATACTCGCAACGTCGTCTGCATGAAATTAAAAAAATGTTAAGATATAGCCTATGTTACTCACTGATAACGTAGCTTTCTAATGGTGAAAGAATATTTGAAATCGGTTCATTAGTTTTTGAATTATTTCAATACATACAATTTTTTTTTCCTCTTTTAATATTAAGTATAGATTAATTGAAAATCTATATAATCTTATTATTTGTGAATTGTTTTATTGTATTATATATAAATATATTTTCGTGTATACTAACTGCTAGAGGTTCTCCGGACGTGCTGCTGGACCACACTGTTGACTAGAGCTTGCGTCTCCGCTGGGAGCTCGCTCATTAACGCCGTAAACTGGAATACAAGTTAATATTTTATTAATTATATATACAAGAACAATTATCTAGATTGTCATTATCTGTACAAATATGATATAGCGTAAACACACATGTATCACTCACACGCTTTAGCTTAAGGGGTGAATGAATTAGAAAAAATATTTATGCGAGAATAAGAAAAAACTTGAAGACGATAGCTAAATATTAGTCGATTGCAAAGTCTTTGACATTCCGTTATTTGAATTTAGACATTTGCACTAAACGTTTTTTAGAATGTGAACGATAAAATGTTTATCAAATCCCAAATCGACGCTGTGACAAATAAATGAATAGGGTTTTGATGTATGATCTGTATTTTTAGGGGTTTCTGATATAATTGCTGATATGTGTGGGGTTGTGTGTTGCTATGGGGTCAGTGTTGCATAAAGTGGTGGGGAGGTGTGTGTTACTATGGGGTCTGTTGTTGTATGTAGTGTGTTGCGATGCAGTGTATGTTGTACTGAGGTGGACAGAGTACACACAGGCACGGGGTTGCAGTCGTAGAGCGCTGCGAGCGCGCGGCGAGCGCCGGTGCGTACTTCCGGCGCGCGCGGGTCGCTGGCCAGCGCCGCCACCTTGCACAGCGCACGGCCCGCTGCGCCGCTAGCGCCACCTATATACAACTAATTTTATTACTACTATAAAACACTTTTAGTCACTATGATAGTCGATATTACTCTAAAATTAAACTGTTACATATTTATAATCGACTCCGGACACATCTTGACTTCCTACAAGTTATTTCGTCCATCCCTTTGTATTGTAAATCATTCTACCACTAATCTAAGGACAGATCAACATTTCATTCCAGTCTACATCTTGCAAGCAACTGGACTGTAAATCAACTAGTACAGTGTGAACGTTAACTGACCCTAAACGCTATACAATCTATGACTGGCCATCGTTCTAACTGTACAGGCTAAGTGTATACCGTGCTTAAGTTAAGGGTGAATTAGAAACACATTGATCCATTGCAAATTAACTTGACATATATCTTTGAATTTGTAGAAACAGACATCACGATTTTCCCTTCACCATTACGTTGGTTAAATGTGATATTCCAAATCTACTTATGTCATCTTGTTTCCAAGTAATTTCATAGCTGTTTCATTAGATTTGAAATCACTATATGTCCTGATTTCGAAAAGTTACTGATAACAGTGTAAATAGGCATATTTTTTAATAAATTATGTTTGTTCTCTAGGTGTTAGTTTAGTATATCAGACCATTCAGCGCCAGTGCGAGGCTGCTGGGAGTGCAGTATTCATGCGCGAGGTCGCTCAGGAACCGTAACGCGGCCACCTTCGTCTTCGCGGTGGGCGTCGTCGCGCCGTCAGCTAGGAACCTGAATATACATAATATTATGTATTTATATATGTTAAAAAAGCAATAAGACTTTGACATTGGCGTAATACAATACTGTACATGTAACAAAGAGGGTATATCCAGGAAAAATGTTCAACATCGAAATTATCATAATATGGATGGATGGATGTTTGTTAGAGTTTGTAGCCTAAACGGCTGAACAGATTTCGATGAAATTTAGTATACTCTGGAAGAACACATAGGCTAATTATTTTCATTGTTTTTTTTTTTATTTCAAGCGGACGGAGTCGCGGGCGAGTAGTAGTATCAAATATTGGAAAACCTAATTATTTCTAATTAGACTAAGAGACAATCTTATTCGGAGCCCAATTTTCTCCAATGGGAAAGGAAAGTGGATTTGAGAGGGAAGTCGCATAGAAAAGGAAATATCCCTTTTAATTGCATCTCTACCTCCGTCACTTAAGAGTATGCAACGCATTTACGTGCAGATGTCTAAGGGCAGTCTCTTCGCCATTTTGGAGTATTCAGGTGGTAATTTGCTCGTTGGCACCCATTTATACTACTATTATAAAGAGGGAAGAATTGTGTTTTTGTATTTTTGTATGTTTTGAAATAAGTCAAAAACTACGGGGCCGATATTAGAAATTCTTTCACCGTTAGAAAGGTAATTTATCTGTGAGTAACATAGGTTATGTTTATTTTTTTTTAATTATACGCGGACGAAGTCGGGAGCAACAGCTGGTATATTATAAAATACACACTTCAACAAATAATCACCAAAACAATAATAACTGACCTGAATATATTGTGCAATTGTAACTCCGCAGGGAAGTATTCATGTATCACATCCAAGGTTTTCATGATCTTGGTCTGCATGGAGCCCAGGATGTCGGTGCCCAGCTTCATCAGCAACCTGAAACCGGACATGTTTGGAATAACAGTTTCCCTACTCATACACAAAAGTTTAGATAGATGGATGTTTGTTAGAATAGCCTAAACTGCTGAACTGGTCTTGATGAATCAGCATATACTCTGGAACACATAGACTAATGACTTTCGTTTCTTCTTTTATTTCAAACGAATAGAGTCGCGTGCTAAAGCTAGTCTTAGTAAGTAAATGTAACTTTATGAAAAGAAGTCGGTTATACACGGCTAGTTTTTTTTATAACTATCGCTTCATTACCACTTACTATGTAATTATTTGTAAGAGGCGGAGTGTTGCAATGAACAAGGCGATATTTCCTGAAGTGGATTGTGATTTTTTTTATATACAAAAACATTAGTAGATTCTGGTTATTTTATTAATATTTCCTTTAACCATTCTAACTAAGCTCTAGGCTTGTGCTAGGATATGGTTCACGACAATCGAATGGTGGGATTCGAACCTCCGACCCCAAGATCGGTAATCCGTACCCGTTAGGCTATTGAAGCTTAGATAGTACCTGAACATAAGCTGGTAGAGCCAATCCTTCAGCTGTGCGCAGTGCACCAGCAGCAGCTCGCAGACAGCATCCAGCAGGAGTGTGAACATCTTCGTGTGCGCGTCCACGAACATCTTGTTCAACAGTTCTGTGAGACGACGTAACTGGTCTTCTGTCAGCAGACGACCGCTGTTCAAGTAGTTAGCCTGGGATACGAATAATTAATTTACTTCTAAATGTACAAAAAATATTGATTTTTTCATTTTCATAAGTAAATTTTTATCTATGGGTATTAAATTAAAATGCCTGGTTAGCAGATTAATATAAAAAATGGCGAAATAATCTTGATAATTACAATACAGTATGTACAAAATTTAAATACAAAATGGCGACATAAACCGACAAAATTGTTAATAGTAGGAAAAAATGAGATTTTCTTCTAGTTTGAAAAAAGCGCCATCTATTATTTATAGTATAAAAGTCAAGCTGGAAATGGGCCTTTTTTGTGTCGGTGGGGAGGGGGTATCATCAAAAGATACCTTGTCTTCTGGGGGGAAGGCAGGGTTATGTAGGATTTGACCTACTAAAACCCCCTCGGTGGCCATCCTCTAGTGACATTCCGAAGGTTCCGGGATCTCCAAGGAACACACCGGAAAGCTGGACAAAGTCCTAGCCACATGTATACTAACTAGATGCGTGAGTCCGTTCTTGCGCTCCGTCCAATGCGTGCAGGCGCACAGCGCTATGATCTCGTCGGGGGGCGGCGGCGGCGGGGGGGAGCTCTCCCACCCCTGGCAGGACCACGAACTCTACAACACAAACATTAATAAACAATAAGTAATGACCCGTTTACATCATTCCAGTCCAGTACTAAATTCAACCACTGGACTGGTATAGTGTTAACTAGATGTGACTTACTATGGATTTAAATTCAATACAATTTTATATAGACATTTTGTCCTTACGTTTTATTTTTATCTTAATAATGAATTTAGTTACCTTTTTATCAGTTGTAATAAATGCTGGATGTTTCAACTAAACTTAATTTATATAACAAATGTATTATATACAGTAGCACCTCTGTAAGTTAAAGTCCAAGGGAAACACAAAATATTTTAAATTATAGTATGTTATAGAGGTTTCGGGCTCTTATGGGAAGGAAACATATTATTTCTGAAGATATAGAGGTTTTTAAGTTACCGAGGTTGTAGTTGAAATAATATAGTTTCTTGTATTAACTCACATCATGTCTCCTATAAGAGTCCAAACTACGCTCGGAGCAGACGCTGGACGCCTCCGAGTCGTCGTCGCGACGTCTCTCGTCGCACATCGAACTGTCTTCAGGACTCTGTAACGTATTTAACAAATTAATACAAAAGAAACAAATAAACATATCACTAATCGTATAATAAAGAATCTATTACCTATACTAATATTATAAAGGGGAAAGATCTGTATTATTGGATTTTTGTATGCATTGAAATAACTCAAAAACTAATGAACCGATTACAAAAATTTTTGCACCATTAAAAAGCTATATTATCACAGAGTAACATAGGCTATGGTTTTTCTTTTGACATAATTTTACGGGGGCGAAGTCGCAATCATATTATAAATGCGAATGTTTGTTAAAGTTTTTAGTATAAACGGCTGATCGGATTTCGATAAGATTTGGTATAGACGTAGAGGACAGTCTGGAATAACACTTAGACTACTCACTTTTGTGTTTATTTAATTCCACGCGGACGGAGTCGCGGGTGAAAGCGAATGTTATATAAAATTTGAGCTGTCAGGTATGACTTGGCCACAACTAGACTGACTTAGCGGGTTGATTTCACATTACTAGTTTCCAGATATGGGCAGATAGCAAGTAGTCAAATTTAATTTTAATTTTTAATTTAAAATCCTGATTTTAAACTGGACCAGAAAGATATAAGATATATGTAATTTTAGATTTAGAAACTCTGAAAACTTCTATAAAAAAGCATCATCAGTACCCTGAGTGCAGCCTCAGCGTCCCTGGACTGCTGCAGCAGGCGCAGCGTGGCTGCAGGCGCACGGGACGCTCTCTCCACGGACTCCCGTCGCCGCGCACTGCTCAACGCGCTACTGGACCGTCCGTTCCTACAACGTTAAAATCACACCTTACTCTATACTAATATAATAAAGCGTAAACACACACTACTTTGTTGCCTAAGATGTCAGCAAATACAGCATATTTTTGAATAACTCTAATATTAACAAAAAGCCCTACACTTTCGTTACGCTGTAGGCTGTATATTTTTATGTCATTAAACTTAGGGGTAAACATTTTGGATAAAAACCCTAATGTGGGAAAGAGACCATAAGTTGCTGCCAACATCAAGGAAGCAAGGTTGTCATCGTGTCATTTTGACAGCAATTGATAATTTGTCAAATGTAAACAAAAAAATATTTTTATAATTTTACGCGGATGAAGTCGCATGGGAACACCTAGTTATAAATGCGCAAGTTTAGATGGATGTTTGTTAGTTTGTACCCTAAACTACTGTACCGATCTCTGAACCGTTCAACTTGTTCGGTTAAAAATGTGGAAAAGATAACTTTTACTGAACAGTTAGATTTCTTAGTTAAATCTGAACATCAGTCTTCAGTCCTCTTCTCCTTTCCGCTCTTACGAACAAAGAAATTAAAAATGGATTTAACAGTGACAAATATATTTTATTCTTTCCCTATAGATTAAAGGTAGACAAGGCATTTGTAATTGTATATGAGCAGTGGTTTACTATGAAGGGGTAATTGAATAAGGGGTGTACCTGGTGGGGCTGGTCTCCCGCGAGCCGGCCAGGGAGCGCGGGATG